AGTAAAGGAGTTCATCACCACCAGACCAGCACTGCAGGAAATGTTGAAGGGTCTTCTTTAAGAAGAAACTAATGAACAAAAGAAACAGACNAAAAGAATCTGATAAACTAAATAGATCCAGAGACATTGACGCATGCAACAAACAATCGTATTTCAGAGGGAAGAGATTAACCAAAGAAGTTATATGCATATGTGCATAACCCATGGACACAGACAATGACGGGGTGAAGGCCTGGGGAGGGGGTGGGAGCGAGGTGGAGGGGGTCAATTGGGAGGGAAAAATGGGACACCTGTAATACTTTCAACAATAAAGATAAATTTAAAAAAGAAAAAGAAAAAGAGAGAGGACTCAGATAAATACAACCAGAAATGAAAGAGGAGAAGTAACAACTGACAGCAAAGAAATACAAAGAAATGCAAGAAAATATTACAGAATGGTGAAGGAATTAAGCAAAAAACCCCCTACAAAACTCATAGACACAGACAAGAGTATGGTGATTACCGGAGGTAGCAGAAGGTAAAGGGGTAAATGGTGATGGAGGTAGAAGGAGACTTGACTTGGAGTGGTGAGCACACAATGCAATATAAAGATGATGTATTATAGAATTGTACACCTGAAACCTATATAATTTTATTAACCAATGTCACCCCAATAAATTCAATGAAAAAAAAGTGGCCTTGCCAGGCCAGCGTGGCTCAGCGGTTGAGCACTGACCTAGGATCCAGGAAATCGCAGGCTGCGGGCTCCATCCCTGGTGGGGGGCGTGTGGGAGAATGACTCTCTCATCATTGATGTTTCTCTTTCTCCCTCCCTCTTCTTTCCTCTCTCTGAAATCAATAAAGACATATTAAAAAAAAAGGTGTCCTTGCAATAACCAAGCCCCTTTTGCCAGTATAACTGCTTTGTTTCTTTCCTTTCCACTTAAGAGTCTTTCATTTAAAAAAATTTTTTTTTGTTTGTCTTTCGTTTTGTACATCTCCTTAGAGTGCCTTTCTGTTAGATTGGATGTTCTCTTATTTATGAATCACTGAATAAAGCCAGTAAGTTCCTTAAAATAAAAACAAAAACAAAAACAACAAAAAACCCAGTTAATACATATCTTGGAATTTTCTTTCTTTCTTTTTTTTTCTAAATCCTCACCCAAGGATACTTTTTCTGTTGTTTTTTCAGAGAAAGTGGAAGTGAAAGCGAGAGCGAGGGGGGGGGAGAGAGAGAGAGAGAGGGAGAGAGAGAGAGAGAGAGAAAGAAACATCGATGTGAGAGAGACACATCAATTGGCTGCCTCACCACAGGCCCCGACCCTGCTGGGGATGGAGCCTGCAACTGAGGTACGTGCCCTTGACCAGAATCGAACCCCAGACCCTTCAGTTTGAGGGCCAATGCTTTAACCACTGAACAAAACTGGCTAGGACTGGAATTCTATTTCTTCAGAATTATTGGAACTAAATACTAATAGACTAAATTACTACATCTTCTATAATATTAAAGCCTTGTAAAATTCTCTGACATCTTGATCTTTAATTAGCCATTACTATTTAGACATCAGTTCAAACAATGCTTTGGAAGATAACTTTCTGTGATGATGGAAATGTTCTATGTTTGCAATGTTTAATAGAGTAGCCATGAGCCATACAAGATTATTGAGCACTTGAAATGTAACTAGTGAGACTGTGGAACTGATGGAATATTTTATTGAATTTTAATTAATATAAATTTACATTTAAATGGCCTCCGGTGACCAGTGCCCATAGTAATGGACAGATCAAGCTCAGGTGATTAAAATAGTAATAGCTGTAGTTTGAATGGGCCAACCTTAACGTGAGAGGCTTGGCTCACATGGTTGAACTAGCTCATGCTGGTCAAGGAACTGCAGAGTTTCCTGAACAATGTTTCCAGCTCTGGGCCAGGGATCATCAAGGATTAGCCAGATTAGAAGGTGTCACAGAAGAGAGGAGTAGGACATAGAATTATGATAAATTTATCTTGGGAAAAGTTCATTTGGAGGGAATGTGATTGGGAGAAAGTGGAATTGTGGACTAGGTAACCACAATTTTTCAAGTCGGTAACATTCACATGGGATTTGCAGAGGGAAGCAACGTCTTCTACAGTTGCTGGAGATTTAGTAGAGGACTTGAGATCATTGTTCAATGAGCTGGTCCTTCATTACACGGTTTAATCACATTATCTTTCCTGGATGCTTTCCATAACAGTGCACTGTTCCATTTTAGAAGATATTTCAAAGATCAGAGAAGTGGCACTTGTCTTTTTTTGGGAACTAATCTATATGGAATCTAGAAAAAAATTTAAAAAGCATTGAGTTTAAGAGGAAATGTACATGTAGGTTTCTTTATAAAACAGGAATTTGAGATAAAGGAATGATTGAAAGGACATGAATAATAACAGTAACAGTCTCCCTAGACTCTTGCCAGGCCCTGGGGTATCAGCTTTGACTGTGCCATCTCATTTCATCTCATGACGCACCTGAGGGAAGGTGTTATTTGGCTTCATTTCCAGATGAAGAGACTGAGGAGTTGGAGACACCCAGCCTCACCAAGTCAGCAAAGGCACAGCTGGACTGAGTCCCAGAATAGCCAGGATCCTTAGCCCTTTCTCTGCCCCAGTACCGTACTTCATAAACAGATATTTCCAAGCTTCTTTTTTCTTGTTTTTCCCCCCAGCCTATTCTAAGTTTTCAAAAGCAAGTATAAATTAACCTTTAAGAAAAAAATGTATAAAAGGAGACTGAGTCCAGCAGGCAAAACTGAAGCATGCAGTGGATTCCTGAGGGGCTCTGGACTGTACAGTGAAGCTTTTCTTTGTGAGAACTGTTCAGTAAAGGTTAAGATTAGTCTACTCCTTGCCAGCCTCCTTTGCATCCCATTTGGAAAGTCAGAATTATAGCCTCACTATGGGCAAGGCATGGTGTTTGGTTCTAGCATTCGATGGCAAAGAAGTCAGACACAGTTTCTGATTTTCTGAGACTCATTCTAGATAGAAAAAATACTAAGTTAAACAATTACAGTGAAGTGTGATAAAAGAGTTAATATAGGGGTAAGATAGGGTGCTGTGAAAGGACAAAGAGAATGACTCATTTCATCTGGGGTGAATTGGTGAAGCTTCCATGGAGATTTTTATTTAATATGAAACTTGAAACATGAGTGGGAAGGTGGGAGAAAGACATTCTGGGCAGAGAGAAGAGCTGGAGTCAGAGCGTAGAGGGAGAGAGTGCCTAGCGTCTTGGAGAGAGACCAGGTTTAGTGAGGCAGGTTTCTAAGTATGAAAGGGTGTGAGGAGTTAGGAGGCCTGAGCTGAAAGCAGGGGAAAGAGCATCAATGGAAAAACTCAGTGGAAACAGGAAACTGAAAGTCCACTCAGCAGAAGTGAACAGAGCCACCCAAGGAGGCACTCCTTCGGGAAGGAGGCATCTCAAGTGCTGGGTTTATATTCCAGCTCCATCACTGGCCAGCTGGCTAATGCTGAGCATATAACTTTAACTCTATGATCCTCAGTTTCCTGGTCTGTAAACTGGGTATTATGGTTGCTGTGAGGACCAAAGGAGATGAAGCACGTCATGGATAAAATGTTCACATTCAAAAAAAGTTGACAACACCCATCAGAGCCCAGGTTCTTGTGTGGAAGCCTCTGACAAGGTCTGCCTGGATGTCTGTTCTCCATTCCAGGTCACTACAGGATGCTCAGCACTGCACTTTCTGGGAACAAGATCAACATTTTTCTCAGGACCTCGCTGGCATCTCCCTCCTCGATCTTCTCAGCAACACCAGGGTCTCCAGAGCAGTAATGGTCAGTTGAGGGGAGCCGTTCTGCAGAGGACAGTCTGCGGGATCAGGGAGAGCAAACACTCTGATGTGTGGATCTAACAGATGTTACAGTTAATGTAATGCACCCAAGGGTACAGTCTTAGCTGATCCTACCAGAAGATACGAGGATGGGGTGCCGGTTCTATAGAAGACACACTCAGGTTTATGGCAATGTTTTTCTGCTCACCCAAGGTGAAGTCCTGCCTCTTTGGGCAATGTGTTGAGATGAGGTTTACTAAGGGTCATATAACCATAGCCACGTAACCCTGAAACTGTTATAAAAATACCCTATATAGTCACACGAGCCATCTTTAGTTTGCCTTTCCCCTGGATATAACACCCAGGTTCTACCATGAGCTCAGTATCTTCTCGCTGCACTGGGCCCTGGATTATGTAACAAGGCTGATGCATTGACTGATGAACAGTGTGTGGCCTGAGTAGTTAATTATGTACAGGGTGCAGGGGAAATTAGCATGGCTGAGTCACCCGGACCTGAGCAAGGGTGAAAGTGCTCTCGCACTTACACTCCTCCATTGGCCTCCGTTTGCTACCATGCCCTGCTAATAAAAGAACAGTCTGAGTCAAAATACCACTGTTCTAACTTGGAAACTCAGGTGACTTCAGAAGGGTTATTAGAAGACCTTAAGTTCCTCATTCTCCCCCCAAAACAGCCTGAATCAAAATCCACCAAGTTATGAATAGTAGCTTTGTTTTGGTGGTGAAGTTACAGAGGGTTCCATTTTGCTCACCTTTCTTGGGACATTGGTAAAGTCATAAAGATGATCCTTTTTTTTAAAAGAGGGAAAACCTGGAACCCAGAAAGAGTGAGCTGCTGGCACCTTCTAACCTTTGTAGAATCTTTGCAATGACCAAGTTCTTCCACATGGCCTCATGTATTCTCACAAAACCTGAGGCACGGTGTCCTCTTCATCTTTGACATGAGGAAACTGAAGGTCTCGGAGATGGAAAGTGAGCTGACAGATACCACATAGAGTGTGTAGAGCTCAGCTTGACTTCCCGCTCAGGACACTGTCAACCTGGAGGCTGGCAGAGGCTGTTCCTTGGCATAGGCTCAGGCCCGAGTGCCCTACGTTCCCACCCTAGGCCATGATTCTGCCTGTTCTGTGTTGCATAACTCACCCTGGATCACATCCTGCCCCAGGGAGTGAGAGCATAGCCCCAAGAGGGGAATAGCAGAGGAGGGGCACAATCTAACTGAAAAAGGTTATTCTCACCTTATGGGAATATTGGTGCCTCTAGAGAGGCCACAAGAAAAACACTGGGAAAACTCGCATCAGGAATGCCAGGCCAAACCCCAATACTTACAAAATGCCCTTGGAAACATGCCTCATTTGCCAATCTTCTTTTTCCAGTTTTTGTTTTTTTCTCTGGGGAAGAAAAATAATTTCAATTATTATCTGGTGAAATTTTATTCTTAGAGATATAATTTTTTATTTTCCATTACTTCCATCTTTAAAACTAGACCGTGAAGCTAAGTTCTCCTGCCATAGGGAAAGCAGAACCTCAAAGAACTCAGTGACAACAAAGAGCCACACTTAGCTCTGCCTCCAATGTGGAACCTTGAAAGATGTAGGGTTTAACTGCAAGGGCCAGTCTCTGGAAAAAGAAGTGGTTGCCTAATTGCTAAAATTTACTGAGTAATAATTATAGAGAGCTTGGGTTATCTCTTTTAGTTTCATTATTACTGTTCTGGTATTAAAGATGAGGAAGTTGATGCCCAGAGAGAGGTGAAGTAACTTGTCTGAGGTCACTTAGCTAGGAAGTGGTACAGCCAGGATTTGAATACTGGTATCTGGCTCTGGGTCCATACTTCATCACTCTGTACCTTGCCTCATATGTAGGGTATGTGCTCAGGGCAGGGAACACAGCAGGGAAATAGACATTTTAGAAGCTCACTGGTTGTCTCCTGCCTTGTGGGTCTTTTGAGACCTCATTCGGGACTTACAATCCTGCAAGGTGGGAAAAATGAGTCCCCATTTTATGCAAGAGAAAAAGAAAGGCAAAATTGGGGAGCTGTCTTACTTAAGGTCATAGAAAGATAGTTGCAAGATAGGATGAAAAACTAGATGTCTCATCAGCACTCTAAAGCCCTTTCTCTGCTCTCCATTCAGCTGGCTTTGATAAAATTTCCTCATGATTAACCAAAGCTTCCCTTGGGCTGGAGGATTTCCAAAGCCCAGGAACACTAGGGGCCAAAGGATAGTGTTTGGTGAAAGAGAGCAAGCAAAAACAGAACAATTCACTTTTGGATTTTGGTGACACTTGCAGCCCCAGCTAGATATAGTGTCCCAGCCCCCAGGATAAAGATGGATTCTGGGACAGGACAGGGTCTGTGTATGGAGGGGTTTGTGGGTGTGTTCAGAGAGGCAGATTCATAGATGTGGTGATGAGGAGAGAAGGATTTTGGAGTTCAGGAGTGGAGGAAGGCTCATAATCATGACATTTATGGAAATTATTCTTGGTAAAGAGGAGAACATTAGAGAGAAAAAGAGATCCATCGTGGTGGTTGGTAAGAGACTCTTCTGTTGAGCTCAAACCAGCAGCTCCAGGGTCAGGCCTGGGCATGAGAAGCCCCTTACCTTTCCTTGGCTGTATACTTGTTTAATGTACAGGTTATCCCACAGAAGGCAGAACAGCACTGAAGTTGTTTTGGGCAATGTTCCTGCAAGGTACAGAATTGAGTACAGTTTTCCGGGCTCACTTTGCAGGGTGGAGGTTCCAAAATATACTCTGGAACACAGAACAGGAAAGAGAAGGGCCTAAACAACAGCCTGGAGTAACATTCAGGACTCCAGAAGCCCAAGGAACTGCCAGGAAACCAGCCACCCTGAGCTCCCTTGTGTGGTCACAGGGAAGACGAAGAAGGGTTTTTCCTCAGCTGCTGCCTTCCACAGAGCTCTAAACAGGGGAAATCAGAGCTTGGATATTTGATCAAAGACACAGTTTGGCAGAACACTACATCCGTTGCTCGTTCACCGTCCTTGCAGATCAGATGCCAAGTCCCCATGGACCTGGTTGAGTCCAGTTCAAAGGAATAAATGGTGTGTGCATGGTGAGCAAGGAAGGGGTATGTAGGTCCGTTTGCACTGTTAACGTAAGAAACATTCAAACCTGTGAAGAATTTTTGTGTTTATTTCAGCCAAACTGTCGACACATGCTAAGAAGAAGAATCTCAGTGGATTGAGAGAATGCTCCGGAGAATGGCAGTTTTGCACCTTGTTTCATAGATTACAATCAAAAGAGGAGACGTCAGTGGGTTACATGAAATCCACTGGTGATAGATTAGGGAGGCAGGAGAAAGCAAAATGGGGAAACCTCTGAGACTGGATAAAAGGTAAAGTCATAGACACACACTTCTTTTGCTTAGGTGGGTGCAGGATAGTTAACAGTCAACAACTCAATATCAATGAGGGGATTTGTGGTCTCCACAGAGCGGTGCCTTTGCTTTGAGGGGTCCAGAAAAAGGAAAATTACTTTAATGTTCTAATGAAATGTTATCATAGATGCAAAAAGACAATAGACAGGCTCAGTTAAGGTAAAGATTGGCTTTAGTCAGGGAAGATACCGGCCTAGGACATGGCTACCCACCATAAACTGCTTTTTAGTTTAAAAGTTTTCATTTCAGACCATCCTTTGTGGCTGCGCTGGTCTGAGTTTGCAAGGCACCCTGACCTAGTCAGGTTAGCGTGTGGCCCCAGTTTTTCCAAGCACTGGCTCACCATGTAGTCTAAAGTGAGTCATATATCCTCTCGTAACAATATAGGTTAGCCCAGGGTCACCCCAACATGTGTTATTTGTGTATAGGAAGAAGGAGGGGAAGGGAATGTTTTGGGAAAGGGTCACGTGCACACAGCACACTAAAGGTACTGGCACCAGAGTGCTAGAACCCAAATCACAAATGAGTTCTGGGGGTGACTTCTTTCATGCGGAGAAGTCTTTCGTGGGTATTTCAGAGTGGGGTCAGCTTCTGGGGACAAAGATCAGCTTCTCCTTCTTCCCAGATCTCTTCTGATCAGGAGAAGAAGATGCATCTTCATGCTGACGTCTCATCCCCCCACCCCCCAGTACTCAGGTCAAAGCCATGACTACCTCCACCAGTAGATTCTGCCCCAGGCTTTCAACTCACAATCTTCTCTTTGTTCCTGAACTCTAAGGCATTAAGGATGGGCCCCATTAACCCGCTTATCTAAGCCCAACCAGGCCTTAAATTTTGTACCTTATGACTTGCCCTTTCTTCGGGGCAAATGTCATAGGTGGGGCACTCTAGAAGCCCCTGTTGATTTATTACTCTGCAGGTATTTGCAATTAGAAGGGGGTCTGTAGGATATCAAAACTGACCTCAAAAGACTAAAAGGATAAAGTTGGGGCTATAATTATAATAGCAAATGGTACTAAAGATGGGGTAGCAGAAACATGGGCCCAAGCTGTTGACAATCTGAGTCAATGCAAAAAATTGGAACTGGTTCCCACTTTGGAGAGCTTGGGGTTCAATGGAATAGCACGGGGAAGGAGTCCATGAGCCAGGAATCTCAGAAAGATTGACCTTCTCAAGTTTTTACTCCTCTTCTGGGTATCTGGTTGCAATATCACTCAGCACTTGCCAGTCTTACAGAAAGCCTCTTTGTGCCCACCCAAATTTCAGTCCTTGATTCTCCAATTACCTCCACCCTGTATATTCCCATTCTCTTGCAGCTTGCTAGCATCCCCCCTCAGTCTTACAAACCTGCACCCCTCTTCTGAGACCCTTAAAACAGGACCTTGTCTACCTCGACACATGAGATACCACACATATCCCTACCCCCAATATTCTGAAGATGTTCTCCCCACAGAAATGTGCAGGCACGATGAATAATAGTTCATTTTCCTTTTGGTATTGGTCAAGGTCAACATTACTGTGACCAGTGCTCTTGTTAGGCTGAGTTGGTCAATGGTGACAGCTGAGATGAACTACACCTTCCCATTGATGCTAATCACTGGTAATTGTGTGGGTACCTCTGAATTTTAAAAATGTGAAATAAAATGCAAGACTTTCTTTTCTTCCTAAAACATCCTCCAAACCCTAGATTATGTAGGTTCCAGCTTGAGTTTTTACCAACTTAATTTTCCTCTCTGCTTTAATGCTTGAAAAGTTGGCCCAAGCATCCATGAAGGAATCAGGGCAGCAAGAATAAGCTGGGTGATGAGGCTGATAACATTTGCAGTAGTTAATACTTACGGAGCATTTACCATGGTCCAGTAAGAGTGCTCTATGTCTGCATGTATTATCTTAGTTTCTCCTCCCAGCTACCCCAATATTATTATATCCACCACAAAGATAAAATCCGAGGCACGGACACTTTGCCCAAGATCACTCAGTAAGCAACAGAACATGTATTCAAACCTAGATCTTACTGACAGTAAAATCTGGACTCTTGAACATAATACTGTGTTTTTCATGAGGTGTGTCCACGAATCAGCCCTCAGATCCTCCCATCACTACAGATGCCTCTTCCCTCCCCTGGGCTGGGACCCAGCACCTACTTATAAAACGATGCTTGGGGCTCCCAGGCACCAGCTGTGGTGCTAGATGAATCAACAGCAGGAGCTGGAGAGGCAGCACAGGCTTCATACTGCTGGTGGGATGGGTGGTAAGTCCTGGCTGAGAACTGCTAGGTTTGACCACGCACAGCTTAGGGGAGAAGAGAGGGAAATAGGGAAAAGTGAAGGCATGCTGTGATTGGCTTCTCACGGTGTATTCCGATTGATTGGGAGGGCTTGGCAGAAATCCAAGTGTCTTCCAACCACACCGACTCCAGGACCTGGTAGTATTTTCAAATCTACACCCTTTTCATCTGCCTAAGCTTGATCTTGTTATTTCTCTCATCCATCTAAGTCTTGTTAACGTTCTTTCACAAAATTTTTAAGTTTTCCATGTCTTTGTTATATTTATTCCTAGAGGCTTGAATTTTCAAATAAAATCATAAATAGTATTGTAACTCTTTTAGTTATTTGTTTGTTGCTAGTGTAGAGGAATGACTTTTGATAATTTTCAATAATATAGTATTATCTTAGTTTCAGGTGTACAATCAGTGATTAGAAATTTATATAACTTACGAAGTCATCATCCTGATAAACCTAGTACCTACTGGGCACCATACAGANTATTTTCAGTAATATAGTATTATCTTAGTTTCAGGTGTACAATCAGTGATTAGAAATTTATATAACTTACGAAGTCATCATCCTGATAAACCTAGTACCTACTGGGCACCATACAGAGTTATTACAATATTATTGACTATATTTTCTATGCTGTACTTTACATCCCCAGGACTATTCTGTAACTACTAATTTGTACTTCTTAATCCCTTCACCTTTTTTTATCCCCAACCTCCCTTCCATCTAGCAACCATCAAAGTGTTCTCTGTATCTATGAGCTTGTTTCTGTTCTCTTGTTAGTTTATTTTGGTTTTTAGATTCCACATATAAGTGAAATCATATGGCACTTGTCTTTCTCTGCCTGACTTATTTCACTCAGCACAATATCCTCTAAGTCCATCCATGTTGTTGCAGATGGCAAGATTTCATTCTTTTTTTATGGCTGAAAAATATTTCATTGTATATATATGCCACTTCTTTATCCATTCATCTATTGATGGGCATTTAGAAAAATGACTTTTGTATATTGATATAGCTAGTTCCCTTGCTAGATTCTCTCATTAAAAAAAACAAGTGTTTTTTTTTTATTTTGGAGAGAGGAAGAGAGAGGGAGAGAGAGAAAGAAACATCAATGATGAGAGAGAATCATCGATTGGCTGCTTCCTGCACGCCCCCTACTAAGGGCTGAGCCCACAACCTGGGCATGTGCCCTGACCGGGAATCAAATCCTGATCTCCTGGTTCATGGGCTGATGCTCAACCACTGACACACACCGGCCAGGTGAAATTCTCCTATTTTTTATTATAATCTCTTGGTGCATGCTTTTCAGTGTTCCATGTAGTCAGTCATCATCTGCCAATAATAACTTGCATTTTTCCTCTTCAAACTTTATGCCATTTTTAATGCCTTGTTGTGCAGGTCAGGACCCTCATCCATTATTATATAGAAGTAGTAATAGTGTATATTCTTGTCTGATACCAGATTTAAAATGAATACTTCTTAAGTTTCCCTTTTTAGGACAGTGTCTGCTTTAGGTTTCTCATAAACATCTTTTATCAGGTTTAGAAAATTATCTTTCATTCCTGACATAAAATTTTTTTTCATTGATTTATGTGAAATTATATCTATAGTTTTTCCTACATATGTTGAGATAGCGTTATTCTTCTCCTTTAATCTGTTAATATATTGAATTACATTTCAGATTTTCTAACATTAAACCATTCTTGTGTTTCTGCAGTAATGTAATGTGATCATTCTGTATCATTTTATATTGTTTGGTTCAGTTTACTATTTTTTAAGGAATTTTCCATCTATGTTCACAAGGGAACTGGGCCTGTAACTTTCCTTCCTCATATAGCCCTTGCCTAGTTTTGTAGCAAGTTTACAACTGACCTCAGAGAATGTGCTGAATAGCAATCTCCTCCCACCTTTTTTTTTTAACCAGTTCTTTGGAAATTTTTGTGTAAGATAAAGATAATTAGTTACCTGAATCCTTAATTCTCTTTTTTCTTGCACAAATATGTTCATTTGCACCTTGCTGTTGTCATTTATTTATTTTTTATTTTATTTATTTATTTATTTTAGAAATGATACAGTTTTATAATGTTCTCTGTTGCTTATTTATCCACTAAAAATATTTTCACAATACAACACTTTTAGGAAGCTTCTCTGTTACTTTCTTTGGTTTACACTTCTTTAGGTAACAATGGCTCCATCTTTAGTAACAAACCTTCACTTGTTGAACTACAAAGGAAAGCTTGTACCACAAAGGGTCCCAAATTCAGCGGCCTGTGCCTACAAACTTCATTGATAACAGCTTGCAGATTGGCAGCTATCTGGTCACTTGACATATCCAGTGTTGCTATTTTGGTCTCGGGAAACTTCCCCCTTTCTTCATCTACCTTAATTTCAATTCCAGTTTTAAATAACTCAAGCATTTTGGGGATGTCACGGCCAATAGAATTTTGAGTAAGCTTTGGAAATCTTTTTTTCAGTTTCTTCTTTAATGGATTAAGCTCGGGCATCATTTCTGGAATAGCTACGTAAAAGTCTGGTTTAATTTCATCATCCAAAATCTTCTGAATCAGATTAGTTCCTCCTGCAAAGGCAGTTCCATTGTTTTCTGCTATTTTAATCTCTGATGCATTCCCTGTAAATACGGCAACTTTATTGATTTCTGAAATGAATGGGAATGGCAAACTAAGGACACTGGCAAATGGCTTCACTTTTTTCTTTTCCCCAGTGCCATATCCAGTGTCAAATCAAGATAAACACCTTGCTTTGGATTAGGAAAGTCCAGAATTTGAAATTTCTTAAGTAAATGAATAGCTTTCTCCACCTCGTGTATCTGCCTTGGGTATAAGCGTTTTAGGTGGACATCCTCCTCAGGTTCGCCTTCCACAAGGGGTATGACTATTTTTTCTATCTCATCTTGTTTTTCATTTGATGCTTTTTCTTTGGCACCCTTTTTGGTTTTCTTTTCAAGTTTCCTAGCAGCAGCAGCAAAATGTCTGTTGGGCACCTGAACTTGTGCAGAAAAATGGTAAGCAGGTGTCTGATAAGCGATTTTGGGAAGACGATGCCTTTGATGTATCAAGACTCTGCTGAGGGACCTGACGGCATGTTGACCATTCCGGACTGTGTTCGCTGTTGTCATCTAATGACACCTCCCGACTTCCCTTTCCTTACAGCTGCACTCTTCCCCTCCACGTTCACACATCTTAGTCATACCACCAATCTGCCATACATAGGCATTTATGTATTTGTCAAGATTTTGTTATTAGAAATATGGTGCAATGAACAATCATGTGTATATTTTCTGTATTGCTGGAGGTGTAACATCAGGGTCAATTTCTCAAAGTGTAATTGTTGGTTAAAAGGGTAAACTCATATGTAGTTTTGTGACATATTAGCAAATTCTACTCCATAAAGGTTGTACCATGTAGTACTGCTACCAACCTTGTGAGTATAACAAAATGTGTTATCATGCTTTTGAATTTTTGCCAAAATGATAAATGAAAATGTTATCTCCTTAGTTGTTGAGGATTCGTTTATGTTGTAGTTTGTATCAATACTTTATTCATTTTTATATCTGAATAATATTCCATTGCATGTATATACCACAATTGGATTATCCACACATTTGTTGATGGACGTTTGGGTTGTTTCCACTCTTTGGTGATTGTGAATAGTGTAGTATGAACATTCGTGCACAAGTATTTTCTTTTTAGTACTTATTTTAATTTTTTTGAGTATATACCTATGAGTAACATTGATAAGTCATATGTTTAACTTTATATGTTTAACTTTTTGAGGAAACTGAAAACTGTTTTCACAGTGGTTGAACCATTTAACATTTTAATCACTGATGTGTGAAGATTCCAATTTCTCCACATCTTTACCAACACTTCTGATTTTCCTTTTATTAGATTATAGCCACCCATGTGGGTATGAAGTGGGTGGTATCTAACTGTGACTTTGATTTACACTTCCCTAATAACTAATAATGTTGAGAATATTTTTATGTACTGGCTGATCATTTCTGTATCTTCTTTGGAGAATTGTCTATTCAAGTCCTTTGCAATTTGTAATTGGGCTGTTTGTGTTTTNGTATTAGTTGAGAATATTTTTATGTACTGGCTGATCATTTCTGTATCTTCTTTGGAGAATTGTCTATTCAAGTCCTTTGCAATTTGTAATTGGGCTGTTTGTGTTTTTCTTAATGCACACAACCTAACATTGAAGGGATAGGATGCACGAGTTCCTGGGGGTGATGTACAGTGTGGTTACTTAGAGTTCCTTGGTTTTGGACTCATGTGCTCTGTCTATCAGAGACACTGCAGCACACAATGGCCCTTGGTTCAAACTATATTTCCCAATCAGAAGGCAAGTGCTCCACCTTTGCAGGCATCATCTCCAAACTGGCAATTTATATGCTTCTTCAGTAGGTCAATCCACAACTGTGTCAGACTAACAGATTCTGGGTGATACAGTATAGGGCAGTACCATGGGATCTTGGGATTACTGACCTGTTGTTGCACCTCTCCTGATGTAAAATTTGTCAACTGGCCTGAAGCCATGAGTCACAGAACCCTATGTCAGTACTCCCTCAGGCATCACAAACTAGTCTTGGCTGAGGCATTGCAGACAGGAGCGTCACATTGTGCTCCCAGAAATATGTACCTATCCCAGTCAAGGTGAGTCGTGCCCTTTCCAAGGAGGAATGGGTCTAGTGTGCTAAACTTGCATCAAGTGGCTGATTCACTTTCCGAGAACTGGTGTTCTATCAAGGGCTCAGCCTTGGTCTGTGCCGCTCCTCGTCTATACGTTCAGTAGCTGCATCAGCTTTCGTCCCTGTGAGCTCATACGATGCACAGCCTCCAGCTTTGTGATCATGGCAGCTCTACTCAGGGGTCCATTGTAAAAGCGCTGTCGTCAGTAAAGATAAGGCCTGGCCTATGTTAACTGGCTGAGACATCTGGTAGACCCAGGTGTGCCTCCTGTCTGAGGGCTAAGGTGCTTACTTTGTGCCCCCATTGTTCCCATGTCTTCTTGGAGTGTCTTGCTCTCTCTCTGATCTACTGATTATTAATTATGTAATATAGAATATATTTTTATACTACTAATAATTAATATATAAATAAGTCTTGAAAATACAGGTGTATAATATGTATTTTTAACTTTATTAAGATATAACTGAGCCCGGCCGGGAGTGGCTCAGTGGTTGAGCGTCAACCTGGGATCCAGGCGATTGGGGTTCGATTCCCGGTCAGGGCACATGCCCGGGTTGTGGGCTCGATCAATGACTCTCTCATCATTGATGTTTCTGTCTCTCTCTCTCCCTCTCCCTTCCTTTCTCTGAAATCAATAAAGATATATTTAAAAAGAAAAAAAAGATATAACTGATATACCTTAATAAGTCTGGAAAAATACATATGTGTTATATATAGCATATATATAGTATATATAATATATATTAGGTTTTCCATCTTTGTTAAGAAATAATTGACATATAACTTGTGTAAGTTTAAGATGTACAACATGTTAATTGCAAAATGATTACTACCATAGTGTTATCTAACACCTCCATCACATTACATCATTATTATTTTTTTGCATGGTGAGAACATTTAAGATCTACTCTCTTAGCGATCTCCTACCTCTGGTAACCACCACTCTACTTTCTGTTTCCATTATATAGACATCATATCTTCTTTATCCATTCATCTGATGACGGACTTAGTTTGTTTCCATATTTTTTTACACATATGTTTCCTTTTAAAATTATTTTTTGTAAATTATTTTCTAATTAGAATATCTTTTAGGAAAAAAGATAGGTTTGCAAAAGGGGAGGGTTAGCCCTGGCCAGTTTTGCTCAGTGGTTAGAGCATTGGCGCACGGACTGAAGGGTCTCAGGTTCGAATGTGGCCAAGGGTACATACCTCCGTTGCGAGTCAGGGCACACTTGGGAGGCAACCAATCGATGTGTCTCTCTCACATCTCTCTCTCTCTCTCCCTTTCCACTCTCTTTGAAAAAGCAATGGAAAAAATATCCTCCAGTGAGGATTAAAAAAAGGAGAGGGTTAGTTATGTGACAGGAAGGACAGTCTCTACAGAAGCCCAAGGCCCACATAGAACAGGCCATGGGGAGGGGCGGGCACAGGGGAGGACACAAGGACTCCTGGCCCTGGCCTGGCCTGGCCAGTGGAGGCAGGGAGGAGCCCAGAATAAGCTGTTCTTTCTTTCCTTCCCTCCACACACCAGCTTCCAGGAAAGGCCGTGTCAGACATAGAGCTCGCTGCTCAGGCCAGAGTCATGCCAACCCAGGCTCGGCTGCCCATCCTGCTTCTTTGTGTTCTGCTGCTGCAGGCCCAGGGAGGGCACTATAAATGGAAAAAGAAGTTGAGTAGGTAATGGGCTGGGGGGTAGGGATGGGGAAGGGGAAGGAGGGACTGTGTCCAGCTGAGGACGACCTGGGAGTTGAGACCTTTCAGCACATCCCACTCTGACCACAGCACTCTGAAGGTTCTGGGTCCTCCCAGACCATGGCTCCAGCCCCTTTACTGGCCCTGGGACTAGTGATAGGGGTGGAGAGGAACCTACATCTTTTTAGTCTCCATTCCCCAAACCCAGAGACATATGGCACATACAGTAGCAAAAGGTGTGCAGAGCTGAGAATCAATCCTTTGGCTTATTCACACATGTGAGGAGGTCAACATCCAGAGATGCTTGTGGGAATAGGTCTAGAATTAAAGGACACTGGGAAAGCAAATTTTGGCATGTTTTAGATTTCACTGAGTTCTCAGAGTCAGAGTATAGATTCTGTGGGGTGACTTCACCAAGGCCATGAGCTATATGACAGACAGGGTCCTGGCTGTAGGAGTGTTGAGAGGGTCCCGGAAGCCCAGGCATTGATTTTTATTGCTGGATGATGGGTGTAATGGGTTGAAGATACTACCAATCATTAGGATTTGGTGAGGGGCAGAAAGTGAGTTCCCTGAGAAGTCCAACAGTGTCATGAGTGGGACCTGGGTTCTGGGGTCATGAGAATACTTTAAGCTTGAGAGGAGTGTTCTGTGTGGCTTGGTTCCATTGACCTTGTTCGTTTCCTTTTTAGGTATCCAGGCCTGTGATAAGAAGCCCAGCGTAAATGTTTGCAAAAACCACTGCTCATATTTTCTGAAGTGTCCCAAATCAGATACCATATGTTGTTTAACTTCCTGCGGGAACGTTTGCATGAGCCTCCTGTGAGTGGGCCCAAGGGCTGGGCTGTGTCTCCTGCTCCGCTAACCCCCTGTTTAAGACCGTGCCTGCATCCAAGCACAGGACCTCAAATCCTGGGCACAGGGGTGTCAGCCTCCCCACTGTCTGGACTGCTTGTCTCTGTCAAATAAACCAGAACAAATGCCCAGGGACCTGCCTCTTTTATTCTCCGAGCTTGCGATCACTGAGAGCCAGGGCAGACCCCAGGTGCCCCTGCCTCCCTGGGTCCCTCTCCCCTTGTCATGCTCCTCTCCTCTCTCTCCCTTCGGCCCATGCACCCTTGCCAGGCCCGCAGAGGCTCAGCCCCCTTGTTGCTCTGCTCACTGACCCAGTGCTCCCAGGGGGAGAAACTGCTCATGTGTGGTGTCCCCGGTGCTAAAGAGAACGTCCTCATGCTGGAGGCCCAAGGCCAAGTGAACCATGAGCTAGGTGGAGGCCTCTTCTTTGACTTGACCCACCCCTGTCCCTTTCTCCCCACTCTCCTTGTAAAGTTCAGGTAACTGTCCCTTTATAAGGAGTCCCAGAGCAGTTCAGTGACATGCCCAAGGCCAAAGAGAGGGAGAGATCATTCATGATATGGCCAGGGGAGGGTGTCTCCTCTGAACTCCCTGTTTGCTCACTTCTTCTCCACTGTGGTGACGCCACAGGCATGGAGGTGAGGGCCTGTGCCAACCCCAAACTTCCCCACTCCCTCCTCCGCCAGGACGGCCGCCCTTACCGAGAGGCCTGGAGCAGGGTGTCAGGATCCGAGACGCCAGTGCCTTCCATTAACTGAGCTGTCCCTCCCTTTCCAAATCTTCCTGCTTATGGCCTCATTCTCTCTCTCTCTTTCAACCCAGAGGGAAGCCACGGGGTGTGGGGACTGGTGGTTCCATTGTGATGCTGTTAAGGATTAACTGGCACAGGGTGGCTGTGAGTCTTGTCCATGGTCTCACGGCAAGTCAGTGAGAATGAATCACCGGGGGACAGCCTCCCTACGACGACCCTGTGCAATCACAGCCCCTCTGAAACGGTCCTGGGGCTAGATCCAGGGGCTGAGTCATGTGCAGCCAATTGGAACGTGGCGTCAAGTGTGGAGAACTCGGGCAGGAGGCCATGCTGGAGGCAGGTGTGCAGTGTGACACTCCAGTCCAGTGCTTTCTGCTGGGCATCGACGCAGGAGACACCAGAGGAGGAAAGCCGCCTCCATCAGGCCAGAGCCTCTCACCCACCTCGGGAGCATCACAGGGCTCCTGGTATTGAGATTCTCCACTAAGAGCTGCCCTTGGGCAAGGGGGCCTTGGGAAAGAGGGCATGGCCAACCACTAACAGACATCAGAGACAGATGGGCAGAAAGGGGTGCTCTTCAGGAGCTCTTATAATGTGCTTGCTCAGAAACCTCACTCTCCAAGCATCTCCACAGCACTTGGCCGTGTCTCAAACACCTAGGAGAGACTCTTAAGAGAGGCAAGGCTACCTGCCAGGTCACACAGAGGGAATGACCTCCCACGACCAAGTCCAGTGCTCACCACCAGGTGGATGCACTGTGGGTGCCAGGCTCACCTATTCCTTGCCCCTGGCATGAGAACCAGGGACCGTGAATTATACTGGAAACAGTTGTTCTTCTTCCTTGTGATAAGCGGTGCCCTGACCCATGTTCCAGAGAGTTGTCTGGACACTGCCCCTGCTCCATGGAACTCAGAGACCACACCGGGAATGCTATGGCTGGAGGAGTTCTTGCCTGGAGTCCTCACTGCAAGTTCTGTCTTATTGGGACAGCTCCATGTTAGGTGGATTAAAGAGTGTGGCCCCTGGAAGACCTTGAGTCTTATGGAGGCAGTGGAAGAAGCAAATGCAACTTCTGCTGTGACCTGGTCTCCAAAATGTCAATTCCCAGCCTACAGGGAATCTCAGGTCAGAGCAAGTCTGTTTGCAACCTTGAGTACTGCTGCTTTTGCATAATTTATTGTCTTCTCATGCTCCAGACCAGCTCCTAGCAATTTTTTTGTTTTCATTTCTATCGACCAAGATAATCAGAAGTAGCTTTTTCTCATGTATCAACTCAGCAACATACCTTCCCTCTGGCAACCACCACACTGCTGTTTGTGTCTGCGAGCTTCACTTTTATATTACACATGTGAGTGAAATCATATGGTTCTTAGCTTTTTCTGACTGACTTATTCCACTTAGCATAATATTCTCAAGGTCCATCATGTTGTTATGCATGGCAGGGTTTCATCCCTTCTCATGGCTGAGTGGTATCCACTGTGTACATGCACCACATCTTCTCTATCCCGTCCTCTATCGCAAGACACCTTGGTTGTTTCTGCGTCTTGGCCACTGTGACTAATCCTGCAATGAACATAGGGGTGCATATATCTTTGCGAATACATGTTTTGGAGTTTTTTGGGTATATTCCCAGGAGAGGAATTGCTGGGTTGTATAGTAGCTCTATTCTTAATTTAAAAAAAAAGAAAAAAAAAAAGTCTTTATTGATTTCAGGGAGAGGAAGGGAGAGGGGGAGAGAAACATCAATGATGAGACAGTCATTGATTGGCTGCCTCCTGCATATCCCCCACCAGGGACCGAGCCTGCAACCCGGGCATGTGCCCTGACCAGAAATCGAACAGCTATCTCTTGGATCATAGGTTGATGCTCAATCCCTGAGCCACACCAGCCGGACTCTAGTCTTAATTTTTTTGAGGAATCTCCAGACTGCTCTCCATAGTGGTTGCACCTATTTACATTCCCAGCAGTGAATGAGGGTTCCCTTTTCTCCACAACCTCTCCAACATTTGCTATTGCTTGTCTTGTTGATAATAGCCACTCTGACAGGTGTGAGGTGGTATCTCATTGTAGTTTTGATTTGCATTTCCTTAATTGCTAGTGTGGGCGAACATCTTTTCATGTATATACTCGCTGTTTGTATGTCTTCTTGGGAGAGATGTCTGTTCAGGTCCCCAGCCCATTTTTTGATTGGGTGGTTGGTTTGTTTGGTGTTGAGTTTTATGAGTTCTTTATATATTTGAAAACTAAACCTTTGTCAGAGCTACTGTTTTTCAAATATCTTCTCCCATCTGGTTGGCTGCCTCTTTGTTTTGTTGCCAGTTTCTTTTGCTGTGCAGAAGCTTTTCAGTTTGATATAGTCCCATTCATTTATTTTTGCCTTAACTTCTCTTGCCTTTGGAGTTAAGTTTATAAAATGTTCTCTATGACCAAGGTCCATAAGTTTGGTACCTATGTTTTCTTCTATGTAACTTATTGTTTCTGGTCTCACATTTAGGTCTTTGATCCATTTTGAGTTAATTTTTATACATGGGGACAAACTCTAATCTAGTTTCATTCTTTTGCTTGTGGCTTGCCAGTTTTCCCAGCACCACTTATTGAAGAGATTATCTTTACTCCATTGTGTGTTTCTGGCTCCTTTGTCAAAAATTATCTGCCTATATACATGTGGTTTTATATCTGGGCTCTATTCTGTTCCACTGATCTGTGTGTCTGTTTCTGAGCCAATACTTTGCTGTTTTGATTATCGTAGCTCTGTAGTATAATTTGAAGTCAGGTAACATGATACCTCCAGCTTCATTCTTTTTTCTCAGGATTGTTTGGCTATTTGGGATCTTTTGTGGTTCCATACAAAATTAATGATTTCTTGTTTAGTTATTTAAAAAATGACATTGGTATTTTGATGGGGATTGCATTAAATCTTCATATTGCTTTGGGTAAATATGGCCATTTTAAGTATGTTGATTCTTCCAATCCATGAACATGGGATATTTTTCCATTTTGTTGTGTCTTTTTCAATCTCTTTTAATAATGCTTTGTAGTTTTCAGTATATAGGTCTTTCACATTCCTTGCTAAGTTTATTCCTAGGTATTTTATTCTTTTGGTTGCAATTGCAAAATGAATTGTTTTATTTTCATTTCATTTTCTGAAGTTCTGTCATTAGTGTACAGGAAAGCAATGGATTTTTGTACATTGATTTTGTATCCTGCACCTTTACTGTATTTGTTTATTGTTTCTAATAATTTTTGTGTGTGGAATCTTTAGGGTTTTCTATATACAGAATCATATCATCTGCAAAAAGTGACAGTTTTACTTCTTCCTTCCCTATTTGGGTGCCTTTAATTTCTTTCTCTTGCCTTATTGTTATGGCTAGGACTTCCAGAACTAAGTTGAATAAGAGTGGTGAGAGTGGACATCCTTGTCTTGCTCCTGATCTTGGGAGGAAAAGCTTTCAGTTTTTCACCATTGGGTATGATATTGGCTGAGGGTTTATCATATATGGCCTTTATTATGTTAAGACACTTTCCTGCTATTTCTATTTTATTGAGTGTTTTAATCATAAATGGATGTTGTATCTTATCAAATGCTTTTTTTGCATCTATTGATAAGATCATATGATTTTTATCCTTTCTTTTGTGAAAGTGATGTATTACAGCGATTGATTTACGTATGTTGAACCATCCTTGTGCCCCTGGAATGAACCCCACTTGACCGCGATGTATTATTATTATTTTTTATATATGGCTGTACTCGATCTGCTAGTATTTTGTTTAGGATTTTTGCATCTGTATTCATCAGGGGTATTGGTTTGTAGTTTTCTTTTTTGTGCTGTCCTTGCCAGGTTTTGGCACCAGGGTCGTATTGGACTCATAAAGTGTGTTAGGAAGTATTGCCTCTTCTTCAGTTTTTTGGAAGTCATAATCTTTTTAAAATTTCTTTGGAATGGATGAAATGGCCTCATTTTCATTTCTGATTTTAGTAATTTGAGTAGTCTCTCTTTTTTTCTTAGTTTACTTAGTTAAATCTTTGTCAATTTTGTCTATCTTTTCAAAGAACCAAATTTTCGCTTCATTGATTTTTCTCTATTGTTTTTCTATTTTGTTTATTTCTGCTTAATATTTATGATTTTCTTCTTTCTGATAGCTTTGGGTTTAATTTTATCTTTTTTTAGTTCAAGTTGTAAAGTTAAGTTGTTCATTTGAGATCTTCCTTGTTTTTAAAT